TGTATTTACGCGTAAATGCCTGCGGTGCATACTTTCGGTTGCACATATAGACAAAAAAAAGACAAAAAGTTAAAATTTTTGCATACCTAACTTAACGGCGAAAATGTTGCCATGTTTTAAATATTCTGCGAACTTTCTTTTTTAATAATAATAATAACAAAAAATAATTTATAATTAATTAACTTATACATATATTTTACAATTTGATGAATTTGATTTTTTAAAATAAATTTAAAAAAATTTTAGTATTAAAAATATGCATAGTAATCCAAACGGAACTACTTTGGTACTAGTTAAGATTTTTTCAAATTCCTATTTACTTTCACCATGAACTTCAAAATGTATTTAACTAAAAACTAAAATTTTTTAGTTAACTTATTACCCTGTAACTAATTGAAAATATTATTTTAATTTAATTAACATTTTTAATTTATTAAGAATTAAAAAAAACACACGCAATTCGTATAGAAGTTGTTCTTTAATTGTATTAGCTTTGAAATGTTTAAATATGTCGAAAAAATATTTATGAAAGTCTGACTAGTTATTTAACACATTACAAAGTAAAAGTTCAAAACTATTGCGCTAATTATAGTCTACTTTTTGTTTGAAATACAGAAATAACGGTTTTGAAAAATATTTCATTAAAGTTTTCAAATTTACTCATATAAAAAAATTGCTATCATATTGCTTTTTTCCAGATTTTAAATTAACTAGATGGTAATTGTTTTTGAAATTAACAGATTACAAAGTAGTTTGTTTAAAATTGCCTTCAAAGCTGAACTTTTTTTAATACTTTCCATAAATTGAAACAAAAAAATGTTTAACTTTATAATTATATAAAAATTAGTTATTGAACATATTACAAGGTGACTAGTTGTAAATTTCTTTTCAATTTTTTTCTAAAGAATAAACTTTTGTTTTTTGAACGGTTCTCAACACCACATCTCCATATCAAATGTATACATGTTACTTTATGCATTACAAAGTAACTAGTTGATATTTGCTTCTAACAGTTAGATAAAAATAAAAATTTAGAAAAAAAATTTTATGTAAGAAAAAATTAAAAAATAATCAAATTAGTTTTGCCACATATTACACTATGACTAGTTAAAAATTGGTTTCGAAGTTCATTAAAAATATAATTTTCTTGTAACAGATAAATGTTTTCCGAAGATTTTTCATCTATTTATCAATTTTAAATTAAGAAAAAATATTGAAAAAAATATGAAAAATGCTTACTGGTCATTTTATATATTACAATGTAACTAGTTGATATATGTTCTTTGATTTAATTTAAAATCAAACTTTTGTATTCAACATGTTCCATCAACCTTTCTCAGACTTTATAAGTGTTAAAAAATAAATAAATAAGAAATATGCCAAATAGACAAACTAGTTAGTTAAAACATTACAATGTAAGCAGTTAATATGTGCGTATGAGTTCATTGAAAGTGAAATATATATTTTTTTAAATATATTTTTAATTACTTTTATTTTCTTTATTAAGCTGTAGTAATCTTAAAATTTACGTTTTCAACTTAGAAACAATTTCAAAAATAAGCCAAAGAGTCACACTAGTTATTTGGCTAACAACAATGGGATTAGTTGAATATTTCGCTTAAAGCAAAATAATAATTTTTGTTTCGCTTAAAAAATTATTAAAGTTAGGTTGTTTGAATACTTATGTATTTGGTAAATTGGTTGCTTAACTGATTATAAGAAAATTATTTTGGAAATGGTTGCACAACTACGCTCAAAGTAATCAATTTTGGACTAGTGCTAGGAGAACAAGCTATAAAAAAAAATGTCTGCAGCAAGTACCAAAAATTAAAAAAATTCTTAAAAAGATAATAATATTTTTTAAGATTATTTGAATTGTTTTTTTAAATTTTAATAATAAAAAAAATATTATTTTTTTATAGAAAACAGTAAAAAATTTCAAACTTTCCTACGCGACATTACGTTCGTAAATTGCGCTTACAATATTTATGCGCCTGCAGACATGAATACATACATCAAAACATACATACATACATTTGTATACTGTGGTATGTGGCAGCGCCGTCAGCCTGTCACGCTCATTGATCTTCGTTCACAATTTGACGTAAATCAAAAAATATTGAAATCAATTTGCTTTCCCTTTGCTAGGCCACTCTACAATCTACAATAATAACATTTGATGTCAGCCTGCTCTTGTGTAGGTATGTGTGCATATATGTAATCGGCCAATTCAACCTCTGTCATTGCGCAAGTATTGTGTAAATTTATAATACTGTAGTTTTATTGTTTATTTTTTTTATATATTTTTTATTACTTTCTGCATTTTTTTTTAATATTTTTTTTGTGATTTTTTTCACCATAGCGGTAAATAAAAATCCACGCACCCGCATTCTCATGATGATGTATTATTTTTTAATAAAAAGATTTATGCATTGCATATAAATAATTTTTCGCAATTTGTTTGCCATTTTTTAAACGCACACACACACACACAGACATTTTTTATTTCCTTGGCATTACGTGTCACATACTCATTTCATTAGTTTATACGAGTACATAATTTTCGTTTGTGTTTACATAATTTGTATGCACAAGTGTTGCGTACAACATACTTGTCTACATATATACGTATACATATGTACAATACATATATGTAAATTTACATTTCATAAATACACGTATGTCCAGGTCAGTTTTGCAATTTAACATTTTAATTGATTTTGAATTTTTCCCTTTGCTTTTTTCATCTTCTTCTTGTATGACACAATGTTTATTTTAATTATGTCATTAAATAAATAACTTAACTGTTTTCACTTGAGGTGGTGCTATTTTTATAATTTCATTATATAAATATATATTTTTTTTAATAAAAATATTGTTTGTTATCCTTTTAATCGGCTTATTTAAGTATAATTAAATATACTTTCACTAGCTTATGCAAGTGATATTAAAAATGGACCAAATTTTTATTGGCTTGAAATAAATGCGTGATATGCATGCAAGAAAAGCAGTCAATGCAATTTTCGTAGCATACTTTCGGGCAGTAAAACATTTTTTAAACATTTCTTTTAACTTATGTCAAGTGTTATTGGAATTCTACTGAGATTTACAAATAGTAGAGATATGCATATATTTAAAAAAAAGCCTGAAGCGTGTTTTCGGTCTCTATTCTGCGATGTGCTTCTAGATTTATCTTCGAACAAATGGCAGGACTTACAACGTATTCTAAGTCGCCTCGGTATGACAGGGATTTTTATGTGGCACTTTAACTTTATCTCGAAAATGCATTCGGCGGCGCTAACATTACGAGATTTGAACATATGTTCCATTGCATAGTAACAGGCACTCGATCAAAATCAAGGATTATAATAAGTGCCACTCTGGTCGGAGAAAAGAGCTATTCCTTAATTTGATAAGAATGAAGAAGAATCGTAGTATTAAAGGGGATATCATACAGATTTCTTGGTATTTGTTAGATCGACTTAAAGGAGTTTAACTTGTTTTTTTGACTATGAATTTGCATTTACATGGCTATAGTCAACAGCTATGGGACGTAGCTCTAGCCATTCATTCATTAAGTGCGACCAACCCTGTTGCACGTTGCCCCAATCAAATGATTCGGAGCCTGAAATCACTGCCACTGTTGCCAATCCGACGCATTCGATTTAAGCATTCACTGCACTATATCACTTCGTTTATACCACAAGAATCCACACCTTCGCCAGAAATCAATGCATATGAACTCTTTAGGGTTTACGAACGTATGAGAATCGATCATTTTCATTCTCAGTCACGCCAACGCAGGACAATACGGCAGAAAGAGAATATATATTTTGATGTCTTCTTCCAAGCAACTACGACAGTAAGCATTCTGAGAGATCCCAAGTCTGGCCGCGTAAGCTTCGAACGGATAATGTCCTGCCAAAACATCCACTAAGTGCGATAGCTTTAGTTTGCAATTGAGGCAGTTACAATAGGCCCCAAATGACAGAAGCATTCCTTGCACCCAGGTACTTCTTTGGACAATCGAAAAATAAAGACCTCTATGGACGAACAGGAATCAAAATCTGTATGTCCTGCTGAGATTGCAGACAGGATAGGGAAGCTGGTATGACTCAGTCGTTGAAGCAATGCCTCTGGATCAGTCCACTCTTAACTTTAAGTCGACTTAGACATTTAGTAGCTATTCAGACTACCAGTAGAAGAATCGAAGGAAACCAAGGACCTTTTAAATATGTCAAGAAGCTTTCACGTCCTGGGTTATAAGTACTTCTCCTCAAATTGAACTGGGACCTCTTTTGGCACCACAAAGGACCAACAAATCCATGTAAGACGACACAAAAAGGCAGTATAATCTAACCTAATCTGCTCTGTGTTGCAAAGGCAACATACGCTAAATCAACAAAATAGATATTCGAAAGAAAAGTTTTGCGACATTTTAGTCTGCTATTTACAGACGATGGTGAACATCTGAAAAGAAAGAGCAATGAGTTTTCTAGTCATAGGACGGCATTGATATAAATCAGAGAATCAAGTATTCAAAGCAGTAACCGCTGATGGAATTAAAAGAAGAGGAAGACCTTCACTGCGATGAAGCGATCAGCTGGAGAAACATTTTGTGGCTCTCATTAGCGGCGAATTGCGAGAAGAAAGGAACGACTCTCCAACTATTTTTCAATTGACTATAAGCACTAAAGCTATGCTAAGCCAGGCATTATGAAGAAGAAGCATATCGTTTTAAACATAATTATTTGAATTGCACCATTTTGAATGTCTGCTTTCTTGCCTCAAAGCTTCTTTTGCCAAGAAAATCTAAAAAAATTTTTTTTGCTAATTTATGCCATTTTTACCAGAACAAGTTTTAGGTTAGATTCACATTCCCATAAGCGATTTAAATGCAGATTTTTTTTCTTGGAACTCATATATGCACATATGTACATATATGTATATGACTATGTATGTATGTGCTAATGATCAATTGATTGATATTGAATACTCACAGTGTTTACTCTTCTCGGCAGCCACTTGATGTTGAGGCGCCTGGGCCATTACCGTAAAAAGCATTAGCCACATTAGAAGCCATTTTGTAGCTGGTGTTGTTGTTGCTGTTGTTGTAACTGCTACAGCTGCTTTACTTTTTAAGCTGACCGAATTTGCATGATTTGCTCTAGATGTTGCTATTGCAGTTGTTGTTGTTGTTGTTGAGGTTGTTGTTGTTCCAACTCCACCAACTGTTGCCATCTTCTTGTCTGCCAATGCCGTTGGCGTTATTTGTTCATGCTTTTTGGCTAATTCTATTTCAAAGTCATTTGGTTTTCTACCATTTACTATTTTTGTTGCTTTTGTTTTTGCTGTTGCTGCTGCAGCAGCTATTACGGTTGCCAGCAATACTGGGGGAAATTGGAAAATTGACCAGCTGTTGTTGTTGTTGGTGTTATTGTTCTTGCATTCATCATTGTTACTCTGCTCAATAATTATTGCGGAATTTTTTGTTGTTCTTGCTGTTGCGGTTGTTGTTGTTGTTGTTATGCAAAAATCTTCGTCATCAACAGCGCTCACACTCTGTGTCATAGCTGACTGCACTGCTATGGTATTATCGAGCGAATTTTCACCAGCCAAACGCTGCGTCATTGTTGTTCTTGTTGGAAATTTTTCATTTATTTGCGTTTCACACCCGCAAGCTTTAAGCGCTTGCTGTTTTCGCCAACGATTTTCGCCACATTTTTCCACTTGTTTCTGCGCCTCAAGCACAAGTGTGCGCTGCTCGGCTGCTGCTAATGACATTGTCGGCGGCGGAGGCGGCGGCGGTGGTGGTGGAGGGGGCAACGGTGGCCCCGGTCCACACGATGTTGGCATTAACATGGCGTCTACACGGCTCCAATGCCGTTTTTACTCTTCAACTGGCCAAACTGTTTATGGTCCTTACCGTCTCTTTTGAGCTACACTGGCTTACTTTGATGCTTGTTCTTCTTCTTGTTTTACACTTTTCACCTTTGCTCTAATTTCGAATTGCTTTTGTTGTTTTTAATTTATTTTTTTATTTATAATTTTTTTTTTTTGGTCCGGATTTCACTTTTTCTCTGTCTCTCGCACTCTCTTTTGTTGTTTGTTTTTTGTTTATTTCGTTTTGTTGGTATTACTCATTGCCTCCGCTCATTGTAGCGCAATTAGACGCTTTTTAATTGCAATGACACTTGCAGTTGCCAATGGCAAACTGACTCTGGCTTCGGCGTCGCGGCGGCAAAGTCGGAAATTTGCATCAATTTTCATCAGTGAATGGACGAGCTTTCAAAGAGCGAACGCGCGGCGGTCGGTTGGAGCTGAAAATGGAAATTACAATGAAAATAAATCATTAGTTTGTGTGAATGTTGCTGATTTCAGTAAGGAAAATCATTATTGTAACTCCTCATAAATTAATTGAAATTCAAATTGAAGCAAAAAAAAAAGGTTTTGTTTTGCATGAAGATTTCAAATTTGTTTTTAATTTCCGCAACAACAATTTTGTTTGCAATTTTCGGCAGCAGTGAAAGATTGTGTACACTTCGAGTTTATGTATGAATAATGTGTTTTACCTTAGGGCATCACGCATATGATCTGCCAGCGATAGACCGTTCGCAAAAAAATGAACCGCGTCCGCAATTGCTGGTATTATCCTAACCCATTGGTATGTTTGCGGTCATATAGTGTTCAAAAAGTATCGCGAATTTGGAATTTCCGCAGGTTACGTATAATCGAATTTCGATTTTTTTGTGGCGTTATGTTGGTCCTCATGTCTGCATCTTATGCCGACAAGCTCGGCCATTTGGGAATTTCACTTAATTGTTGACAGCTGCTTTGCTTGCACGTGTTTTGGATGGCCTTCGATTTTTACCTATTCAAAAAAATGGATCAAAGAACCTGTATCAAATTTTGAGTGAAAAACGAAATTAAGTGCGCGGATGCATTCCGAATGTTGACTGTGGCACACCGAGAAGCAACCTTGAACCGAAACAACGTTTATCGGTGGTACAAAATGTTCTCAGAAGGCCAAGAAGATGAACGACGAAGAGCGTGTCGGACGCCCGAGCACTTCAACAACAGACGAAAAATTTGGCCCAAAAACAACACACTAATGATGCCGCAGCCACCGCATTCCCCAGATCTGGCCCCCTGTGACCTTTTCTTGTTTCCTAAACTGAAGTGGCCCATGAAAGGACGGCGTAATGCTACGATTGACGAGATAACGATGGCATCGAAGGTGGAGCTGAACAAGATAAAATAGATGATTTTTTGAAGTGCTTCAAAGATTGGAAAAACCGTTGGCACAAGTGTATAATATCTCATGGGGATTATTTTGAAGGGTCCAAAATAGATATTTATGAATAAATAAATAAATTTTTGAAAAAACACAAAATTCGCGATATTTTTTGAACACACCTCGTGTATTAAAGGATGCCATATGCGTATGAAATTTGGCTTCCGAAAAGAAAGAGTTCTACGTAATGTGAACGTGGGACGGAACAATTTCCAAATCGTAATATATTTTTAAATCATTCGACATCGATTTAAATGAAAGTAATTTTATGCCTTAATTAATATTTTTTTTATTAAGGCAAGTGAACCTTGACCGATCAGTCGAAAATTTTTCATTTATCGTTTAATTTACACAAAATTTGGTAGAGAGATAGTTTAAGACCTAAATAAATATGGCGAGAACTCTGGGCCTGGAATCTATTTAATGGTCCGGTTTTGCTTAATATGTGTAAGTTCTTTTCTGGAAAGTTAGCTCTGCCTCGAAAGCTAAAAATTCTCATGCGATATTTGCAAGTTTTTTAATCTGATTCATTATTTTCGGTGCCAAATTTAAACTGTATAACAACTTAAATTTCACACTTTACCCATGAGAACAGAAGCTGAACAAGGCCGCGAAAAGTCATACATACATACACATATGTATATAAGTATATATGTACATGAAAATTCATGTGTTAGTATTTATAATAGAATTTCTTTCCACACCATCAAATACCCAAGTAGTGATTTGCATTAGAAATTGGAATTTCTACTGCCACTGCCACATCCAATTGTCTGGCACAAATATTTAATTTGTTGCTGACAACTGATTGCCATTACGCGACAACATAATGCAAAGTAATACAAAAGTAAATAAAAGTATGCTTTCCCATGCTCGTATGGATGAGTATGTAGATGGAAAGTGCGTGCAAATAATAAATGGGCGGTAAAAAAAACATTTACATACATGTGTACGTGTACATATGTATATGTGTAAGTTAATGTATTACACAAGCCAAGCGCTTTAGATACATACACACATTTATATATATATATATATATAAAGTGTTGTTTTTGCTTTTCTTTGTAGCGCAAAAGAAACCTTCAAAGTTCATTGCATCGCCAGCAAGACAGTCAACCTTAATTGCATGCAAACACACAAACACAGAAGCTGTTGTTGTACGGAAAAATAATTTTCTACAATTTTTTTTTTACTTTCTATTCTTCTTCATACAATTCTAACGTTGTCATCATTTTCGAGAGTGAAAAAAGAATATTTATGTATGTATATGCAGTATATGAGACATGTGAATCATTACGAATATACCCAGTAGTCAAATGAACTAGTCACGTACTTCTAAACTGGTATAGGAAGCACGAACAACAAGTCAATCAACTGACTTTTTTTCCATATAAAAAAGTGATATTAAAAAAAACTCTATATCCCTGCCAGAAGAAATCTAATAAAGAGATGTGGTGTACTCTGCAAGAGCTGCCGCTTTCATTATTTCTCTTTGTTGTATAACAACAATGTTCAATTCATACAAACAAATTTAGCTCACTAAAAACTTGTATCCTAAAATATAAAACAATGCAGCAATTGTCAATTCTTATACTAGTTCGAAATGGACAAAAAAGTTACTAGTTCAGTTTTCTCTACAAAAAAAATGGTTTGTTTGTTAAATTAATATTTTATAAAATCAAGGATAATACTTTTTAGGAACTTTTAGATATATACTGCCCACATAAAAGTTCAAAATATGCCAAAAAGCAACTGGTTTAGTTGTCAACTAAAAAGTTTAACTCTTTAAAATTAAAAAACAAACTTTTTCATGGACTAATCTTAGCAAGCAAGAAAACAAGAAATATACTAGTTTCATACTAGTTCAAAATGGACAAAACAAGTAGCTTTTTCAATTAAAGGCCAAAGGTATATTAAGTTTGCTCAAAGAATTAATATTTTTCCAAAAATATTTGCCTTTTCAAACAAATGGTTCAAAATATACTAGGCACATACTAGTGTCCAAAAAGCACAAATTGTAACCAGTTCAAGTTTGAGACAAAAAAATTGAGTAGTTTTTCTCAAAAATAATTTTTTTTTAAATTAGGTAAATTACTTTTTATAAGCTGTTAGTAATGAGGTACTATTATATATTATTCCCGCACTGACTCAAAGTGTGCGAGAAAGCTTCCAGCTCTGTTTGGAGCCAAAACATAACTGAGTTACCAATTTTGTTGATCTTAAAATAATTCTTAATATATTAGAAACAAAAATCACATTGTATAACATGTGTATAACACAATTAAAACTAATATTTAGAAGTAAACTAGTCTCAAACCAGCTCAACATGACCTAAAAAGTTAATTTTAACACAAAAATAGGGCTTTATTTGTTAAAAAAAATATTCTGAGAAAACTGTATAAAACAACCAGCCTCTAACTAGTTCTAAATGAACTAAAGTGTACAAAAAAGTTCAGTTTTGAATTAATATTCGTGGGAAAAAATAAAACTATTTTATAAGTTATAAATTCTGGTACCAGTTTGATCTTTTTCGGTCCACTGGGATTTCACACAGCAAAGCGTACATATATTCGTAAAATAAATCATCGTTGTATATGTGTGTACTTATGTCGGTATGTTTGTATGAAGGTTCATAGTCACATTGGCGCCAAAGATACCAAACAAATTAAGAACGAAAGTGACACTTGAACAGGCGTTGCGTATACGCCCTGTATGGCCAACAACAGACTAAAGGCAATAAACAAAGCAGACCAACAGGTGGGGTAAGCAAAGGCAAGCAGGCCAACTAGTAAACAGACAAGCAGGCCAGCAAGCATACAACCAGGCAGTCCACGGGGTCCCAACACTGCCCACCAATAGTCTGTCAACAAAACTAACTAAACACAGAGGCCACCGCAACGGAGCCAACCAACCAGCCAACCAAGCAACCAAGCAGCCAAGCAAGTAACCAGCCAACCAACTAACTAACTAACAAAGGAGATACCTATTTGACAACAATAATAATAACAACAAAAACAGCAACAACACTGATTACAAAAAAAAATACTAGTTTATGGTAGAAGTAGAGAACCAACAGACAATCAAGTCAACCATTCATTTTCATTCAACTTTCAAGCACAATCAAGCAAGCTTTTAAGTTATTGTGCATACACATATATCTTTAATATGTACATATGTACAGTATTGTATGCAGTTTGTGTTTTTTGCTAGCAAATTTACTTTAGAGTGAGTCAGTCGCCACTTTGTTCGTTCATCAATCCGCCCAGCCGTCCAATCAACTTTCTAAGCAGCTCAACACTTTTGAAGCCAAGGCTATTTTGGTCGAACTGCGATGAATTGCAAAAAGTAGGGCATTCGCCAGTGAGTGTGTGATGCCAAAAGTGGTAGCTTTGGCTGGACATCAAGAGGAGCCTGGCAAAAGTAAATGATATATGTGAGGAGACACTCATATACATACGCGCACCATACGTGTATACGTGTATACATATGTTAATACTTTCATGATAGGAGAAGAGTGTAAGTGCTTGCAGTGATTATTTTTATTTATTATTTTATTAAAAAAAAAACTAAATAAATAATAAAAATAAACAAAGCTAAATAAACGAAAACATAAAATGAAAAAAAATGAAACAACATAAAATGTAAGTAATAAAATAAAATAAATTAAATAATTTATATAAATATTAGACTACCTTAAAAATTTTGTATAAAGAAAAA